TGAGGACCAAGCATTTGCCAGTAACGGTGCCTCCCTTTTCATCTTCCCCCACCCCCATCGAGTAACAGTAGTGCCTAAAGCCAACACTCTCTCACACGCCACACGCAACCCACTCACACACACACTCACACCCGTGTTGCCCGAAGACCTTACTAATGCCGACTGGGAGGATCCAGCTGACTATCTCAGTTGGTTGGCACCAAGAGTGCTACAGGCGGCCAAGGGGTTGAGCCCACGACCTCCTAAATGCCACTTGCGTGCCTAACCTTAATGTCAACTGGGCTCTCCTCATGCCTATCAGATGGCTCCAAAAGGGTAAGACTAAACCGGCCAAGGTCATGTCTTTACAATGGCAGATCGCGCATCGCTGCCTACCTACAAATGCTTGGTTAATCGACCACACCCACCTGATGCAAAAAGGGAAGGCACTCCCGTGGTGCCAAAGGTGCATAAGCCCCTTTCCCTCAGGAAAGCGGGAAGAGACCATTGAATATGTCTTCATGCAATCCCCGGTGGCACTGTTTACGTCGCGATGGTGGGACCATATATGGCGCAAAATTGCACCAGACACTCACTGGCCACGGTCCTCGCAGACCACATTAACAGGACATTGCCCATCAATGGCGGTCTCCCCCACCTTTACAAACAACCTGTACAGTCCAGGAAGGCGATCAGTCCTTTGGGCCCTTTGGTGGCAGCGTTCCCTCCTGGCGTTTGAAGGGGTGGAGATAGAGGGGCCTGAGCTAACAGGGCAAATCAAGGAACTCGTCCAGCTGGAATTACTGCGTAGACGGCAGGCTCTCATACTACGACTTGACATCCTTCACACCGAGCAGGATATTAAACCACCAGTACTTGGCCCAGCTATCGGCCGTGGATAAAAAGGAGTAGAAACGTTTCTAGTCGGATGAATTTGGGTGCTCCTGTAGTAACCCGTACGTTTCCTAAAATCATGGCGCGTTAATGAGCACGACTCTAGGAAGTACTGGTGGTTTAAGCAGGCAATTACAGCATTCGGCACGGACTGGCTAGGGGGTCAACGGGAGGGATGGATAGCTTGGGTTGAATGGGGGGATAACCAGACTGACTTCGCGAGACAGGGCCCACCCAGGGACTACCGTTTAGTATTTAAAGACCGGACCACCGTTGGACCATCTTAATGAGACCCCCATCTGATTTCCCTGACCCCTTCCCACCTCACCCACTCTCCCTGGCGGAGACTCAGATGTGATCACAGCTGCTGCTACAGACAAAAAAGACCCATCATCCACCCCCGGTGCCTCCCCGGGGAGGAACAGCTTCAGCAGCGGAACCAAGCGGGCGTCTGTGGAGTCATGTGAGGATTAGGAGCTTGGTCAAGAGGTGACTGAAGAAATGGACAGCAGCTAGCAGCAAAGATCTTAAGCTATACTAGTACTTCTTGCAGGAAATACTACCTACACACTCATAGTGATGGAAGATGCTAGAAAAACCAGGCTAGAAGAGGCGCCCTGTTCACAGGGTGAAGAGGCACTTCTATCTCGACAGCCGTCCTAACCGCTCAGTTCATCCCCCTGGGTAACCTGGGGTAATCAATGCTGGCGGAATACTCTTGCGCTAGTCTTGTGAATGACCCTGTTGTACAGGGACGCGGGACCTGTTTTCCAGCAGGTGCAGCTCCCCACCAGTAGATGGATCAGCCACGGACAGTTACTAGAGGTGGCTGCTCTTACCACCCCCTTTAGTAGCGGTTGCTGGTTAATAAAAAAAAAAAAAAAAACTGACAGCAAGTAACATTAACTCAATTGACATTAACATAATAAGGATATTCTTTCTATTTGTTTATGCTACTCACTATCAGTTTAGTTTTGCTTTTATTTCATTTTGTCACCATCAATGGAGGTCATTTAGTACCCAATGCTTGGCAATCTTTTGTTGAAATGATTTATGAATTCGTTCTAAACTTAGTCAATGAAATCAACTAAATGATAAGGACGCTTTTGAGAACTCGTACTCATTGCTTCGCTCCTTTGTTTTTTAGTCTAATTTATTAGACACCCAAGAAACATAATCATTGAAACAACAACAACAACAACAACAACAACAACTTCTCAGATTGTCAATTTGTTGGTCGGCTGAAAAAAAGAAAAAAAAGAAACAAAAAGAAAAAAGGTTCATAAGAATCATACAGGCCACTTTCAGCCTGATCCTGATGCTGACCTTGATACTGGCGACAAGGTTGAAACAGGTCGGGAAGTCACAAGTAGTCTAATATTTTTCACTCATTTTTCTATTACAAGCCTCAGTCCATTGCCCGTACATCGTTTTCCTCTTTTCGCTCTTTCTCCCCTATCTTTCTATCCTCTCTCTTTCTCTCCTACTTCTCTCTTTCTATTCTTCTCTGTCTACCTTCCTCCTCTGTCTATCATCCCTCTGGTGAGCTACAAAGCTACAAGCTATGGATGTCTTGTTTTGCCGAGTCATCTTGGTCAGTTATGGGTCTCGTCTCGGTTACTGGGCTTGGGTTGTTTGTGTTCGTGCTGCACAGCGACCTCTCTCCTGACCCATTTTCAGCCGCATCCTAAACCTTACATGTTAGAATCGTATACCTATTCAGAAAGAAAAAGAACAACAACAAAAGAAAAAGAACGAACAAGAAAGCATCTGCATCTGGTTCCCACTTCCGTGTTCCAACAACAAAAGATGCGTGTCAGAATCAATGTGATCACAGATTGTCCCATATTTGTTAGGGGTCCCCATTGGGCCCACACCCTATCGGGGCCTGTTCTATCAACAGGATGAAATAGTGTCATAGCAAACTCTGCCAAACAGGATAGCACACACAGTGTCCATCAGGACGACGCCAGTACACCTGGGACCAGGAGGGGCTCAACTGCGCGCCAAGCTTTTTGAAACCGCCAGCAGTGCACTTTTTTTCTTTTTCGCCTGCGGCCGCATTTTTTCTTTTCTGGCTGGCGCCGCGAGCCATTGTGGTCCGGTAGGCCCGAGGCGCTAGATTTTCGGAGTTGGCGACAAAACATTTTCAGCAAGGTTGGGGCACCTTTTTTCAGCCGCAAGCCATTGTGGTCCCGTAGGCCCAAACATTTTCAGCAAGGTTGGGGCACCTTTTTTCAGCCGCAAGCCATTGTGGTCCTGTAGGCCCAAGGCGCAAGATTCTCAAAGTAGGCAACGGAACATTTTCGGCAATGTTGGGACTGTGTAATGGCCCCTGCGCAAGGATGATATGCATGAGTCGAGAAATGGTCGAGAGAAAAGGAAAAGAAGGATAGCACACACTTGTTCTACATTATACGCAGGTTGAGGCACGGCCCACAAGTCACTGTCCAGTGGGCCCAATGCACTGCGGGCCCACAGTACACTGGGTGGCACGGTCGGCATGCTGCTGTAGTCATCATCAAGGACCGCATAGCGAGTTTCTGTTTTCCGACTTCTTGGGCCCACACTTGTGCAAGATTCTTTTTCTTCGTCTTATTGGGCCCACTCACCCCATCCGTTTCTTTAAGCCCCGAGCAGCCAAGACTTCTTCCAAATGACATGGTATTTCGTCAGGTTTCCAAATCAGGAAAAAGAAGCCCCAACGTTCTAGTTGTCGTCTTTTATGTGCTCGTGCATGCCACCCGTCATTTTCAACCCCCTGCAACGCCAGCCAGACATGGATGATATTTTGCACAGTGCAGAAGACGTGCGATGCACACACACACACACACACACACACACACACACACACACACACACACAGACACATGCACACACACATGCACATATGCACACGTGCACATATGCACGGATATACCCTCATATGCACATACGCACGGGGGAAGACGGCGCAAACGCTTACTGATCTGACCAGCAGAACAAGTCTAGATGGGTACTGGTCAGCCACTAGACGCAGAAATAAAGGCTCATTTTTTGACGTGGTCCCGTGACTAGAGGGAACTGCCTGTCTGATAACAGACACACAACACCTGAAGAAATCTGAGCTCGCTTTTCCATTTCCTCTCAACAGGCTGGGCACCTCTAATGGACACATCTTCTAGCCTCCTCATACAAGTGTCTGTTATCAGAAAGGCAGTTTCCTCGAGTGACAGTACCACGTCAGGTTCCTCTCATGGACACGATTCAGCTTTGGGGATCGAGGGCATCCGCACGGGAGGATAGATGAACGAAATCGACCAAGCATACGGGAGATTTGTCAGACACATACTAAACATGGGAAACAAAGGATGGATTTTCGAGGATTAAGTTAACAATGGATTCAAGGTAGACAACAACAGAAATGGGATAAACGAAAAGTGCATCCTGGACTGCAGAGGCAAACACGGGAAGGAAGGGGAAAAAAAACAGAGAAGAGTAGCATGACAATGACGACACCTGAGCAATGATAATCTTTTGGGGCAAGTACATTGGAGTCGCACCTGACGTTCAGAGCAGGCAACTTAAGCAGTTCCCGAAATGAAGCAAAAAACGGCAACCCTAAATCTGCCGAAGGCCACTGCAGGTAATGACTGGTGCAGTTTTAGACCCCCGCTAAACTTGCGCATCTAGAAACTCACACCATGACATTGGTGCCACTTTCTTGCCTATTTCAAACTAAATGTGTCCCAAGGGCCACAGTTTCCCCTATTATTTTTATTAAAACAAGTCGACCCGGCACGGCAAAGCCGCGCCTCAATGAATCTCCCGCTATAACATGGGAAGATAGGGCGGCATAACTTTTTTTCTTTTCTGCATGTCGAGAGCAGCAGAGCGGCCTCTCTCTCTCTCTCTCTCTCTCTCTCTCTCTCTCTCTCTCTCTCTCTCTCTCTCTCACACACACACACACACACACACACACAGACACACACA